CTCTATTTCACACCCTGCTCCTAGCCCCTCTTTCTTTCTGTGGAGAAAATACTCTCCCCCACTTCTTCTGTGACCTCTCTGCCTTACTTAAGCTGTCCAGCTCAGACACCTCACTAACGAGCTAGTTATCCTCACTGTGGGGGGGGTGGTCATTGCCCTTCCATTTATATGCATCCTGGTCTCTTATGGCTGCCTTGGGTCCACCATCCTGAGAATCACCTTGACCAAGGGTATCTGCAAAGCCTTGTCCACTTGTGGCTCCCACCTCTCTGTCGTGTCTCTGTACTGTGGGGCAATTATTGGATTGTACTTTTTCCCCTCATCCAATGATTCCAATGACAAGAATGTCGTTGTGGCTGTATTATACACTCTGGTCACTCCCATGCTAAATCCGTTTATCTACAGTCTGAGAAATTGAGACTTGAAAGGAGCTCTGGGACGTATACTCAGTAGAAGAACATTTTTACCATGATGGACAATGTTTTCTCTATTAATTTGATACAAGTTTTATTCTCTGAGTAGCTTTTTCTCAGTGAATCTTGAAGTGGCACTCTTTCTTCATCTTCTCTGTTTCAGCTTGGATTTAGTTTCTTCTCTGTTTAGTTTTGTTTTTTTGCTTTGGAGAACCATGAGGAAAGGTTTATTAAAATGTATACCTGGACAACTGTCCTTTCCTAAGACATTTTGTCTATTTTTATGTTATGCCTTGTCCTACAAGCATTTTAAATTTTTATGTAGTCTCAGTTTTCAATATTTTTTTTCTTTTTGATAATTGTAGTCTTGATGTAGCGAAGCTTTTCCCTTCTCAAGATAACAAAAGTATTTTTTAGTAGTTTCATTATTTTATTTTTGTGTTTAATTCTTAATACCTTTGCAATTTATTTTTGTGAATGAAATTAATTGGAGATCTAGTGTTACTTTTATTTTAAAGTCACATTCATCACCCAAATTTTGTTTTTTTGTTGTCTTCATAGAGTGATCATAACATGATGTGTCACTTTTTTTCCTGCTTAGTTTGAACCACAAATTGAAATGAGATGGTTCTCTGCAAAAGGCCATGATAATGGTCCAGACAGGACTAGTAGAGGCCCCAAGTGGTGAGCTTATTCTTGTTTGGAGCCCTCTGTATCCTAGGATGGCCAACTGGGTGTGAGGAATGGCAGTTAGAGTAGAGATTGTAAAGTGAACTCTCCTGGTGGTGATGTGATTATGGGTGATTAGTTCATTGTGATAAGGCAGTTCAGCCTTTCAGGGTATGGGACAGAGAATGGCTAGTCGGGTTATCAGAAACCCAGGAAACTTGAACTGAATTCAGGTAGGACTTTACTGTAGTTTAATATATCTGAATTTTCACATAAAAAACACTTCCTGTGCGAAGTACATAAATATAGCGTCCTATGTTTGGCCCTGGTGGTCCAGTGGTTAAGAAATGTGGCTGCTAATCAAATGGTAGGCAGTTCAAATCCACCAGGCACTCCTTGGAAACTCTATGGGGCAGTTCTACTCTGTCCTTTAGGGTCGCTATGAGTCGGAATCAACTCAACGGCAATAGGTTTGGTTTGATTTTGGTATTTTTTATCTAAAATATTATAGTTTTGTGTTTAGTCCTTGAGAAACTGCCTCTGCTCAAGGCAAAGATAACTAACTTTATTGCTATATCCCAGTTATTGAGACAGGTATTTTCATATTCATTATTTCATTTAATCCTAGCAATTGGAATTAAGGAGGGAGTTCAGATTAAGAGTGGTTTAGTAATTAGTCCCCTGCTACAAAACTAACAATATTTAGTAGAAGTGATGCTCAAACTATTACTCAGAGCCTGGGCCCTTTAAATCACTTGAATGTTTTTCAAATTCAAAAAGTAGTTTTACCCATTTTACTGGAAATTTTATTTTAAACTTAAAAAAATATTGAAATAGCATACAAAAAAGAACTCATATAGTATATATAAGATATATATACTGTAAATAAACTTTTAAGTTGCATGTGTATATATATGTGTGTGTTTATATACACACGTAAATGTGATATATAAGCACACTTTAAAGAATATTAAAAGAAATATTCATTTAAGACCAATCACTAGAAAATAGTATCATAGCTGATAAAGTAGAGGGCTAAAGAAAACAAGGGAAAACCCTCAATGAGATGGATTGACACAAGAGCTAAAACAATGGACTCAAACATATCAATGATTATGAAGATGACGCAGGACTAGACAATGTTTTGTTTCATTATACATAAGGTACCACCTAGCAACAACAACAGGGTTAAATAATAGAATACTAACAATATTGTTGAAGTCCCTTTTGTCTCCTCCTAAATTATATCTTCCCCTCCTCTTGAAGGTATTCTGTATCTTGAATATTTTCAATATTTCCTTACTTTTCTTTATAGTTATAACACTTCTACATTGATCCTTCAATTTTCATGCTCTAGAACTGTACATAAATGGATAATATTATATTTATTCTTTCAGGTCTTGCTTTCATTGTCTAATACTGTCTTTGTGAAATTCATCCATATAGTATAATATTCCGATGTGAGAATATGACACACTTACATGCTCTATTTTATATAGACATTTTGTTTGTTTTCATAATTTTGCTATTATGAACAATGCTACTGTAAAGATTCTTACACATGCATCTAGTGTATATATGCTAGAGACTCAGCAAAGTATATGTGCAGAAGAAGAATTATTGGATTCTAGGGCATGTTTATGTTCAAATTAAATATGCCTTATAAACTCTTTTCTAAAATATTTATGCTAATTTAAACTTACATCAAAATATGAAAGTTCCTATTATTTTACATTTTCACCAACACTTGATATCAACAGACTTTTCAATTTTTGAGAGTCTGGTGAATAAAAAATTATATCTCATTGTTTTACTTTCCATTTTCCTGAATATTAATGAGCTAGAGCCTACGTTAATTGAATATTTGTGGCATAGATGGCTGGCTATCCACCAAAATTTCCTGACTTCTTTCCCTAGTGTGAAGTTGTCACTGGGAGGCAGCTGCCATATTTCCTACTAATCTAGGTATGGCTAGATGACACATCCTCTCCAGTGAAAGAGAATATATGTTATTTCCTCACCAGGATTTTAAAAGAGTATGTGGCTCTTCTCTGCTATTGGCTGGACGAAGATTACTCTGCTGCCTTGGGAGATAATTGAGTCTGGTCTCTAAATCATCACACAGTGAAAAGCCATCTACCATCTAGGAAACCCACAATGCACTATTACAGCAGTCATCACTACCTTTATTACTACAAAATTTCTCTTATCTGAAATACATTTTTATGTCTTTTTCTTTCCTTTCTATTCGGTTGTTTTTCTTTTATTTATTGCATAGTAAACATTCTTCACATGATCTGGAAATAAATCCTTTGTGACTTGTATATGTTGCAAATGTCTTCCATCCTTTTGAAACTTATTATTATTATTTTAAATCTTTTTAAAAGATGACACTGGATAGGTTTGAACCGCCAACCTGTAGGTTAGTAGCTGGGTGCAAACCATTTGCACCACTCAGGGACCTCTCATAAAAGTAGGAGATATATATCAAACTTTGTAAATGATCTTGTTGAGGCTTCTCCCACTAAGCTTGAAGTGAGGAGGAAAGCACCTCTCTCCTTGATGGGAAGATTTGGGACTCACTGCACAGCTTTCTTAAAATGAAACCTCTTCACAAGACCCTCATTTATCTTTACCTTTTAGTTCTTTTTAAAATCCATATCTAGATTGAGAGCCTCAGGAATTATGAAACTGATTATTGGACATTTTCTGTAAACATCTGTATTTTGCATCTTATAACTAACTGTGGTATCTGAAGTCTATAAAATTTTGGTTCCTCAGTTGAAACTACCAATTTAACATCCTGACACATGTTGATCCCCCATTTTGTTATCATCGGGATAAAACAGAAATTTTGTGAATGGATAATTCTTATTTGTTAAGACTTAGGTAAAGTAACGTTCTCTGGGAAGTCTTTCATGTCCTCTACCACTAGGTTGTGCTAATTATCCCTTATCAGAACTGACACAGTGCTCTGTATAAACTGTTATTGTGCATGTCATACTGCATCACTCTGGAATCAGACAGCCAAGATTTAAATCTTCCTTCCACTACCTCTGTGATCTTAGGGTGTTCCTCACCTCTTTGACCCTGAGTTTCCCCAGCTTGCATCATAGGGTTGTTGTCAGGATTAAATAATATGATTTCAATGCATATTAAGCTCTTAGACCAGTACCTGAGACAGCTGAGATTTTACTGTGTCACTGAATACTTGTATGTGTTTGGGGAGAAAGGAAGTGTGGGCTGTATTCCTGAAGGACAAGAAAGCAGTGTGTTAATGATTATGTAAGAAGAGTAAAGTTTAATATGTTCTCCCTGAAAGTTCTAGAAGAGTTCAGAGTCCCTAGATGCATGGGTACCTGGGTGAAAGAGGGATCGTATTATCACAAAAATGGAAAAATGCTTAGAAATCAAGGTTGGAAAGGCTAAACACATTTTATGACAATTTTAAAATTTGGGGAAGGACCAGTCCTCACAGCTTCTGTTTAATGATACCAAATGACCATTATGGTTAATCAACTCCGACTCATGATGATCCTACGTGTTGCAGAGTAGAACTACTCCACAGAGTTTTCTTGCCTCTAGTCTATATGGAAGCAATTCACCGTGTCTTTCTTCTGAGAACTCACTTGATGAATTCAAACTACTAGCCTTTAGGGGAGCAGTCAATCACAAAAAGCAGCAAAATAACATCCTCAAAGTATTTTCCAATTCCATTACATGAAACAAGAGCAAATAAAGTCTTATAAGGTGTATCCCATTTTACTATTTTCTCTAACGTTGCAAGAGTAATGTCAACAAAGTGTTTCTGAGTGACAACAATGGAAGGAAGACAAGTGAGCTATTTTTTAAATAAACTCTACTTGCATATAATTGAAGAAATAAGACCATGTGGATGTTCTAAAAGAAAGGTAAATATCAGTTGGAAGAATATGTTTTCTTACTCAAGAGTTTTCTCAAGGCTCCTTTCATTTCTTTATTTCTCAGGCTATAAATGAAAGGGTTCAACATGGGAGTGACCACTGTGTAAATCATTGAAGCAATTATATTCTTGTCATTGGTGTTGCTGGATGAGGGAAGAAAATATAGACCAATAATTGCCTCATAAAAGAGAGTCACCAGTGAGAGGTGAGATCCACAAGTGGACAAAGCTTTGCAGATTCCATTGGTAGAGGGAACTCGGAGGATGGTGACCCCAATATGGCCATAAGAAACCAGAATGCATAAGAATGGAAGCATAACGGCTGTCATTCCTGCAGTAAAGGTTACCAATTCGTTGATGGAGGTGTCCGAGCAGGACGATTTAAGCACGACAGCAAGGTCACAGAAGAAGTGGGGGATGGTGTCATCAGCACAGAAAGACAGCCGGGCAAGGAGAAGGGTATGTAAAAGAGCACAAGCACAAGCAACGACCCACGACTCAGCCACCAGCATCTTACAAAGGCTCTGACTCATGATGGTGGTATAATGGAGAGGGTGACAGATAGCCACATACCTGTCGTAGGCCATTGAAGTGATAAGGAAACTATCCAAATCAGCAAAGAGTATGAAAAAACATGTCTGTGAAATGCACCCTTCGTAAGAGATGGATAGGTGCTGGGTCTGCACGTTCATCAGTATCTTTGGGACAGTTACAGATGAGAAAGTGGTATCAGTGAAGGCCAAATGGCTGAGGAAGAAATACATGGGAGAGTGCAGGTGAGAATCCAGCCTGATGAGCAGGAGGATGAGCAGGTACCCCAGTACCTCACTGTGGTGAGGTATATGCCCAGGAACAGGGCAAAGAACATGCCCTGCTGCTCCTGCCAGATGGGGAGCCCCAGGAGGAGGAATTCAGACACTTTGCTCTGGTTCTCCCTCCTCATACTTCTGTATTAGCTGGAGGGAGCTGGTGCAGAAATCTGAAGGGAAAAAATGGGATGTCTCCAAGTAAGAAATGACAATTGTGGCATAGCATAATAGAGATGTTCATTTGACCTAGGGAATGTTTTCATCCATATTTTCTTACAATTCCCACATACTTTGCTGTATAAATGAAGTAGAAAAAATGTAGGCTCATGATAAAGAGCTGCTTTCTTTCTCAGTTTTGTCCTAGTTTCTGTAAATAATAATAATAACAGTTAATATTTATTAAAAGTTGACCTGACTCAGTGTTCTACTAGTTTACATGTAGTAACTGATTCATGGCTTTAAATATACGAACTAAATTGTTGTTAGTTGTCATCGAGTCAATTCTGACTCATGACTAAGTAGGTACTATTATTTCTAGTTTTTGAATAGGATAACTGAGGCAAAGAATTTCATGATCACAGAGGTAAGAAGAGGAGTTGCTGAGATTTGGATCCAAACATTTTGATTAGTGAGTTTGTTCTCTGGAAGCAAAACAAATGATGTGATGTCAGAAATCTTATTGCCATTCATAATTTGCATATAGTTATCTTATTAATTCTGTATCCCCTGCTTGTCTACGCATTCTGTGATTATTTCTAATTTATTCATTGTTTATAGACACAGAATCTACCATAGGCACTTAATACATACACAATATAAATTTGTTGTTGAAATAAGAAATTTCAGGTCCAATTAAATCCATCATGGTAGGTTCGTTAAGAAAACTACATCAGGCCTACATCAGAACAAGATTTAACTCTAATGTGGGCCCCATGTGATTTAGTTGCCACATGGCATCACATTTAAAGAAGTACAATCCAAAAGCCAAAAGTAATTTTAAGAAAGAATTCTAATCTTTTCAGTGTATCTAAAATAGCCTATAAGATATCTATTTTTAACTTAAATCAATATTTATCAAAATAACTGGATAGTTTTTTTTTAAGAGAAGGTAGGGATTCACTATATCAGAGCTTATTATAAAGCTATAGAGATTACAACAAATAATGTATTTTTACAGAGATAAACCAATAACCAATGGAGAAAAATAAAGAGCCTAGAAAGACATGTTTTGAAATAGTCATTTGGCAACTGACAGAAGTGGCATTATAAATCAGTGCATAAAAGAACGGACTCTTCAAAGAATGCTGCTGGTTATCCAATGGACAGTTAGATATTCATACAAGAAAAATAACTGTATCCCTATCTCATACCATACATGAAAAAACCCAGATGGATTAAAAGCCAAATGTGAGAAGCACATTTTAGAATGATTAGACAAAGATTTTGTAGATTGTTTATAATTTTAAGGTAGTAACACATTTCTTAATCAAAACTCCCAAAGCATGCAACATAAATAAATATTCTGATAAGTTTGATGACATTAAAATAAAATGTCTGTACTACAACAGCAACTACCTTCACTACAACAAAGTCATAAGGTTGAGACAAACCACAGAAAGGAGAATATATAATGCTTAAAACCAGCAAAAGATTAGTATTCAGAATACATTAGAATTCTGCACCAGTACTACTCAAACTATTTCAGAACATAGAAAAGGAAGGGATACTTCTAAACTCATTTTATGAAGCTAACATAACCCTGATACCAAAACTAGGCAGACATCACAAAAAAAGAAAATGACATACCAATATCTCTCATGAATATAGGTGCAAAAATTCTCAACAAAATCCCAGGGAATACAATTCAGCATCATATAAAAAAGTGGAATTCATACCAGGTATGCAAGGATGGTTCAACATTAGAAAGTCAATCAACATAATCCACCATATAAATTAAACAAAAGAAAAGAATCACATGATCATCTCAATCGACACAGAAAATGCGTAGGATAAAGTCCAACATCCATTCCTGATTAAAAAAAAAACTCTCAATAAAATAGGTATAGGAAGGAAATTCCTCAACATAATAAAGGGCATCTATACAAAACCAACATCCAACATCATTCTTAACAGAGAGGCTGAAAACTTGCCCCCTGAGAACAGGAACAAGACAAGGATGACTTTATCACCACTCCTAAACACTGTGCTGGAAGCCCTAGCTAGAGCAATAAAGCAAGAAAAAGAAATGAGGGGTATCCAAATTGGTAAAGAAGAAGTAAAACTGTCCCTATTTGCAGATGATATAATACTATACCTAGAGAACCCAAAAGCTCCACAAGAAAACTAATGGAACTAATAGAAAGATTCAGCAGAGTAGCAGGATACAAGATAAACCTACACAAATCAGTTGGATTCCTATACACCAATAAAGAAAACTATGAAAAGGAAATCAGGAAAGCAATACCATTTTATAATACAAAAAAAAAACCATTACCATCAAGCCGATTCTGACTCATAGTGACCCTATAGGACAGAGTAGATCTACCCCAGAGGGTTTCCAAGGAGTGACTGGTATATTTGAACTGCCAACCTTTTAGTTAGCAGCCATAGTTCTTAACCACTCTGTCACTAGGGCTCAACCATTTATAATAGCCCCTAAAAAATAAAATACTTAGGAATAAATCTAACCAGGGACATAAAAGACCTATACAAAGAAAACTACAAAACACTACTGCAAGAAACCAAAAGAGACCTGCATAAATGGAAAAACACACCATGTTCATGGATAGGTAAAATCAACATTGTGAAAATGTCAGTTCTATCCAAAGCAATCTACAGATATAATGCAATCCCAATCCAAATACCAACAGCATTCTTTAATGAGATGGAAAAACTAATCATTAACTTTATATGGAAAGGAAAGAGGCCCCGGATAAGAAAAGCACTATTGAAAAAGAAGAATAAAGTAGGAGGACTCGTCACACTAGACCTCAGAACCTACTATACAGCTACAGTAGTCAAAACAGCCTGGTGCTGGTACTGCAACAGACACATAAACGAATGAACAGAATCGAGAATTCAGATGTAAATCCATCCACCTACCATCCTCTAATCTTCGACAAAGGCCCAAAGTTCATTAAATAGGGAAAAGACAGTCTTTTTAACAAATGGTGTTGGCAAAACTGGATGTCCATCTGTAAAAAAGTGAAACAGGACCCATACCTCACACCATACATAAAAACTAATTCAAAATGCATCAGAGACCTAAATAGAAAACCAAAAACTGCAAAGATCATAGAAGAAAAAATAGGGTCAACGTTAGAGGCCCTAACACACAACATAAATAGGATACAAACCGTACCTAACAATGCACAAATACCAGAAGATTAGCTAGATAACTGGGATCTTCTAAAAATTAAACACTTGAGCTTATCTAATGACTTCACCAAAAGAGTAAAAAGAGAACTTACAGACAGGGAAAAAGTTTTGGCTATGATAAATCCAACAAAGTTCTAACCTCTAACATCTACAGGAAAATCCGATACCTCTACAACAAAAAGACAAATAATCCAATTTAAAAAAAGGCAAAGGATATGAAAGATACTTCATCAAAGAAGACTTTCATGTGGCTATCAGACACATGAGAAAATGCTCGCGATCACTAGCCATTAGAGAAATGCAAATGAAAACTACGATGAGATACCATCTCACTCCGACATTACTGGCATGAATCCAAAAAAAAAAAAAAAAAGAAAAAGCGGAAAATAGCAAGTGTTGGAGAGGCTGCAGGGAGACTGGAATTCTCATGCACTGCTGGTGGTAATGCAAAATGATACAACCATTTTGGAAAATGACACGGAACTTCCTTAAAAAGCTAAAAATAGAAATATCATACAATCCAGCAATCCTACTCCTAGGAATATACTCTAGAGAAATAATAGCCATCACACAAATAGACATATACAACCCATGTTCATTGCAGCATTATTCACAATAGCAAAAATATGGAAACAACCTAGGTGCCCATCAACAGATGAATGGATAAGCAAATTATGGTACATATACACAATGGAATACTACGCAATGATAAAGAACAATGATACATATTCAAAACATCTCACAACATGGATGAATCTGGAGGGCATTATGCTGAGTGAAATAAGTCAGTCACAAAAGGCCAATACTGGATGAGACCATTATTATAAAAACTCGTGAAAACGTTTACACACAGAAAGAAGCCATCTTTGATGGTTACCAGGGAGGGAACAGATGGGGAGGGAAAAACACTAACTAGACACAGATAACTGGTGACTTTGGTGAAGGATAAGACAGTACACAATACTGGAGAAGTCAGCACAACTTGACCAAAGCAAAGTCATAGAAGACTCATAGACACATCCAAATTCCCTGAGGGACTGAATTACTGGGCTGAGGGCTGGGGACCATGGTCTGGGGGAACATCTAGCTCAAATGGTATAACATAGTTCATAAAGAAAATGTTCTACATCCTACTTTGGTGAGTAGCATCTGGGGTCTTAAAAGCCTGTGAGGTCTTAAAAGCTTGTGAGCAGCCATCTAAGACACTCCCTTGGTCTCACCCCTTTGGGAGCAAGGGAGAATGAAGAAAACTAAAGATACAAGGGAAAGATTAGTTCAAAGGACTAATGGACAACAACTACCACAGCCTCCACAAGACTGAGTCCAGTACAACTAGATGGTGCCCAGCTACCACCACTGACTGCTCTGACAGGGATCACAATAGACGGTCCCGGACACAGCTGGAGAAAAAATGTAGTACAAAATTCTAACTCACAAAAAAAGACCAGACTTAACTGGCCTGACAGAGACTGGAAAAACCCCAAGACTATGGCCTTCGGACAATCTTTTAGCTCAGTAATGAAGTCACTCCTGAGGTTCACACTTCATCCAAAGATTAGACCGGCCCATAAAACAAAATAAGACTAAAGGGGCACACCAGCCCAGGGGCGAGGACGAGGAGGCAGGAGGGGACAGGAAAGCTGGTAATACGGAGCCCAAGGTTGAAAAGGGAGAGTGTTGGCATGTTGTGGGGTTGTTAACCAATATCATAAAACAATATGTATACTAACTGTTCAATGAGAAGCTAGTTTGTTCT